GGGGGGGCAGCCTTTGTCCTGAAGGGCAGAGTTAATAGCCCATCTCCGGGACCCCTGGCCTGGTGCTGTGCTTCTAGCAGAGAGAGGAGAGGTGGCCCCCTGCCCTGGGAGTTCTGGCTGGTACCAGGAGTCCTCAGTCCTCCTGATCCTGGGTAATGGCATTGACATAGCCAGTGATGGTGACACCTCGGGGAGCCTTGGCCAGCCTGTCCTAGGGCAGAGCCCATGCCAGGGCTTATCAGCTGCTGCAAATGAGATTTCCCTGGCTCAGCCTCATGTCCCTGCTCCTGGGCGGCTGGGACACGGACTGCCTCCTCGACTCTATCCTTGGATCCCTCCAGTGTCCCCGCAGGAGTGTGGCCCTGTGAGCAGAAGCCTGAGCAGTGCATTTACTGGACCCCCTGCTCTGCACAGGGGATATCTGTCTCCACCATGTCCTGGAGTTTTGTGGGAGCCCTGAGAGATGGGTGGCACTCACCTTGCCACACGGGTAGGGAAACTGAGGTTTGGAGAGGGCTTCAACTCGCCCAAAGTTTCTGAGCTGGCCAGCCCTGTGTCTTCCTTGCTAACTCCTGCTTCTCCCCCATTCAGCCAAGGAACACTCAGGCAGACCTCACCCTGTTCATCCTCTCACCTGGCCCTGGGAGGGGGAGGCCAAGGACGTGGAGCCCGGGGGAGCAGCCCTGGGTTGTGAGGTGCACATTAGCCCATTGCAGCCTTGAGAAGTGGGAATTACTCAGCCCACTTCATGGACAAAGGCACAGGTTCATGCCCTGTGTCCCGGGTTAGCCGAGGGGGGCCACGTCAAGGCAGTAGCTAGCTCCCAGAGGGGATTCGAGGTTGGCAGATCAGAATCTGTCACTTCCACACTGGGTCCTGGGCCTGACCTACCACCAGCGTACATGTCCCTTCCCCAGTCCTGGCCTCAGTTTCCCCTCTGAGAAGGGCTGGGAGCGGCCTGAACAAGGACTCCTCAGCTGGGATTCTGAGTCCACAGAGGGGTACTGAACCTTGTGGCACCTGGAGAGGAAGGGCACAGACATCGGCCGCTGACTCTGGGGGACGGTGTTGCTGAGGCCCAAAGAGGGGGAGCCATTTGCCCAGAGTGATTCAGACATTGTGCTGTGCCCACTCTGAAGTGAGACCCGCACCTGAGCTCTGCCCCTCAGTTCCTTTGGGCCTTGCTGACTTGCCTCCTTCCTCTCCATCCGAGGTTGTCCCCATGAGAAGGGACATCAGGTGGTATGTAGCCAGCTAGACTGGGGCCCACCCCAAGATCCCTCGATGGCATGCTGCCCCCCAACTTTGCCACGTTCCTTCTTTGTGGTAGGAGAGAGGGACCCTTAGAGAGGTGCTAGTGGGTCCCTTTGGACCCGCCCCACTCATTGTCGTCACACCTGTGGGGGGGGGCGGGCACAGTGGGGACTGGAGGGATGGGGAGGGGTCCCTGCAGGCCAGGTCAGCCAGGAGCACTGTGCTTTGCCAGACACCGTCCTGGCCCAGACTTCGCCCTCAGCCGGCCCTGCCAGGCTCGGCACCACCCAGGCCCTGGGCAGAAAAGGCCTCTGCTTCCAGCAGCTGCTTCCTGCTGCTTCCCCTCCCCGAGCTGGTCACAGGCTGTATTTCAGCGGCTCAGCGAGGCCCAGCGCTCATCGGTCTCCCTGTCCCTCGGTGGGTGGGTGGGCAGCTGGCGCTGTGTCCTCTCCTCTACCCCCTCCCATCTATCACCTCGCTGTGCTGCGCTATGGGCCATTGGTCCCTCTATCTCAGACATACCTCTGTTCCTCTCTCTCTGCTCTGCCGCCTCCATATTTTTGCTTTTCAGTCCTCAGTCCTCACCTCCCGTCTGCAGCTCCCTCACCTCCTTCCCTTTTCTCCCCTGCCCCCAGGTGTGTGTGAAGTAGCATCCTGCTCCTCCCACTACTGTGTGTGCTGGGGGGTCACACTCACTGAGCAGGGGATGGGCGTGATCCTCAGGACCCTAGTCCCAGGCCCAGGAGAATCACCTCTGGCCAGCACCGTGAGTGGGTGCACGGCAGGCTGGGGGCCAAGCGCTGCTGTCAGCTCCTTCAAAGCCTGCGGTCCCCCCTCCCTGGCTGCGTCAGGCCTCCATGGGTGGTGGGCAGGCAGCCCAGGGACAAGGACAGGGACATGGTAGCTGACACACACGGGACAGGGTGATGGCAGACCCTTTTCCCTGCTCCATCTGAGTCACAGGGGAGAGTGAGGGTGGAGGGAGCTGGACCCTGGACTGAGCTGTCTCAGAGACCAGGAGGAGTGGGAGAAAGGGCCACAGGCAGGGTCACCTTGAGCACTCAGGTGGACAGAGCTCAGAGTGGCTGAGGTGGGGGTTGGGAAGGGAAGAGATGGGACAGGACTAGCTTCCACCACAAGCCTGGGCCCCTACTCCCTTCCCTTCCCCCTCAGCCTTTTCATACCCTCCCCCCCAGCATGGCCTGGGCTGTCCTAAGGCTCCAGCAACTCAGCTCAGCTCTGCCCAACAGCCCCCGGGCCTGGCTGAGGGCGCACTGGTTTAGGCAATTCAGATCTGAGGGGGGTCTCTGTGGAGCTAAAGTTGCACATGTGCACACATATGTGCACATAATACATGTTTACCGTGTCGACATATAGGCAGGCGTTTGCCTGTGTTCCCCGAGATGCCCCACACACATGCCCATGTTCACTCTCGGGTACCCCTGTAGCTGGTCTCGCGGCCGCATAGCCTGTGCACACGGGCGTATGTGTGTGCTTACGCCTGCCCGCACATCCATCTACTTGCACGTCAGCACACCCCTGCAGTGGCGCTCTGAGCCAGCGCACACCTGCGAGTGCACCTGCATACAAATGTGGTCCCCAGACGTTCCTTGCTGGAGGAGCTGTGTTTGGAGGGCTCTCTGACAGGGCAAGTGCAGGGACTCGGCCTCCTCCAGTAAAGCCTCACTGCCTCTGTGTGTGTGTGTGTGTGTGTGTGTGTGTGTGTGTGTGAGAGAGAGAGAGAGAGAGAGAGAGAGAGAGAGAGAGAGAAACGGGCCCCAGAAGGGTGGGACTGGCCAGGGGGTCCCCCAGGAGCCAGAGGCCACGTTGAACAGGAGCCCAGGTCTCCAACTCCAGCCTCAAGATTGCGTTGCACAGTCAGGGATAGAAATGCTGTCTGCTGCCCCAACACCCCTTCCTGCCCGCTGCCTCCAGGTGCCCCCCCACCCCGTCTGGCCCCTCAGCCAAGACCGGTCCTGCTGGGGATGTGGAGGCGTGAGGCCACCTCTTCTGGAGGTCCCGATGGTCACAGCCTCTGACCCCGTTAGCCTTTAATCTGAGTGGTCATCTGGACGCCCTAGCCACCTGCCACCGCAACAGAAACTGCCTGCTTGCATTTCTTTGAACTCTTACCCCTCCCACCACCCTTTCCTCTGTTCCAGCGGCCTCTGGAGCTTAGGGCTGTAAATTGATTTTGCTTTAAAGACAAAGGTTTAACATTTCTTCTCAAAGCGTTTTCCTTCCTGGAGTTTCCCAGGAGGACAGGAAACAGAGGTGGCTCTCATGAACAGCCTTTGGCTTTCTTTATCCAAACATGAATTTCTCTTGCCTGATCTTCACACCCCTGGCCACTGCCCAGGGCAGAGGGGGGAGCACTGGGCCCTTCCCTCAGCGGAGAGACCGCAGGGGTGAGGGAGAGGGGGGCTGGAGCCCCATCTGGCTGAGGGGCCACGTCTGGCTTGCCAGGCCACCGAAACAAGTGTCCCCTGGTCTGGGGTTCAGTTTCCCCACTTGGAAAATGAGGGTCTGTAGGCTCTGAGCCGTGCACTGTCCTCCTTGCCCATCTGCATCTTGGGCATGGGCAGCCCAGCTTGCCTTACTTCCCCCATCGGATGGCTGGGCAGGGACCTGGTCCCCACTTTATGGATGTGGAAACAGACTGGTAGTGCTCTTGATCTACCTAATTGGGCCCAGTGGACGGGGCTCCAGGCCTCCTGATTTCTGCTGCCTCAGGAGCCTTGATCCTGGCCCAGGCTGTGCTGTATGACTCATGGCAACTCCCTGCCCCTCTCTGGCGAGGCTTTGATCACTTTATTCTGGAGGTCTTTGGTTTGGCTTTTTTGCCTGCCTGAGGGCTCCTCCCCTTTCCCCATCTTTGAGGAAGTGGGATTGGGGGGGTGTCTGGCTTCCCTCTCTTGCCCTCTCTTTCCCTCAGCTCTGCTCCTGTCTGTAAGAGGAGCTTGTCCCATGTCCTTCCCTTGCAGGAGACCCCAACCCCCGAATCCCCCTGCTTGGGGGGCCCATAGCCATGCTGCTCTGCTCCCCTCCCCCATGGGAGCCAAGACAAGGGAATTATTTTTGGAACAAGAGCGGTTACACAACAAATGAATTATTTATCTCTGGGCATGGAGGAGAAGAGGCATTTTGCTGGGCTTCTTAATTCTTTATCTGGATTGGAGGGTGCTTGCTTGGGTATGTGGCTGTGTGTGCACGGCCCGTTTGTCCTACACAAGACTGGGCGTGCTTGTGTGTCTGTGTACCTGTGTGTGTGTGTGTGTGTGTGTGTGTGGAGTCTGGATCACGTGGGGCATGGGGGTCTGTCTTTGTGTGGGGAGGTGGGTGAGTGTGTATGTGCCCCTGGCCTGTTACCTTGCCAGTTTCCCTTCTGTACCCACTGTCCTCAGACTCTGTCCCTCCTCCCTCCTTCCTGGCCCCCAGCTCCCTCTTCCCTCTCTTGGCACCCACCACACTCTCCTCTTATGTAAGGGACCCCAGAGTGCTGCTGGCATAGAGGACCCCTGCCCTGTGGGAGGGGGTGGAGAAGGGACTGGGGGGCCTGCATTGGAATTTGAGGGGCCATTCTGAGCCCCCACACTGATCTGTCACCCCCCCCTCTCGGTGCTGCCTTTCAGGAACCAGGTGACAGATGGGTCTCTTCCTTCCTGCCCCTGTCTCACTTGCTCCCCCTCAGAGCTCCACTCTCCAGCCTTCCATGGGAATCGTCTGAAGTTCTGAGCCCAGAACCCGAGGAGAAAGGAGAGGCGGAGGCGGAGGAGGGAGAGGAAGTCAAGCTCTGAGAGCCACGCACTTTCCCGGCAGAAGAGCAACGCGGGAAGCAGGCTGTGGGGCCCGCAGCACCGCTGGCCCCTGCCTGGCCTTGGTGCCCAGTATCTGCTGGTGGTGCCCCAGAAAGCCCCAGGTAGTTGGCTCTGGCGGTGCCTGCCTCACCTGGGGCCCCTGCGCGGGGGGTCGCCCCCAAGATGGTGGCAGCCACAGGGAGGACTGTGCTGCCACCCCCAGCCTCCAGCTGCTAGGCCCTCTGTGCCCCCGCCCTGAGCCGAGGCCTGGCCTGCGAGGGGCCGCGGGCAGCGCCATGCTGCGCCTGGGGCTGTGCGCAGCCGCGCTGCTGTGCGTGTGCCGGCCCGGGGCCGTGCGCGCCGACTGCTGGCTCATCGAGGGCGACAAGGGGTATGTGTGGCTGGCCATCTGCAGCCAGAACCAGCCGCCCTACGAGACCATCCCGCAGCACATCAACAGCACCGTGCACGACCTGCGGCTCAATGAGAACAAGCTCAAGGCCGTGCTCTACTCCTCGCTGAACCGCTTCGGGAACCTCACCGACCTCAACCTCACCAAGAACGAGATCTCCTACATCGAGGACGGCGCGTTCCTGGGCCAGTCGAGCCTGCAGGTGCTGCAGCTAGGCTACAACAAGCTCAGCAACCTGACCGAGGGCATGCTGCGCGGCATGGGCCGCCTGCAGTTCCTGTTCGTGCAGCACAACCTCATCGAGGTGGTGACGCCTGCGGCCTTTTCCGAGTGCCCGAGCCTCATCAGCATCGACCTGTCCTCCAACCGCCTCAGCCGCCTGGATGGGGCCACCTTCGCCAGCCTGGCCAGCCTCATGGTGTGCGAGCTGGCCGGCAACCCCTTCAGCTGCGAGTGTGACCTCTTTGGCTTCCTCACCTGGCTTGTGGTCTTCAACAATGTCACCAAGAACTACGACCGCCTGCAGTGCGAGTCCCCCCGCGAGTTTGCTGGCTACCCGCTGCTGGTGCCCCGGCCCTACCACAGCCTCAACGCCATCACCGTGCTCCAGGCCAAGTGCCGCAATGGCTCGCTGCCCGCCCGGCCTGCCAGCCACCCCACCCCCTACTCCACCGACGCCCAGCGGGAGCCCGATGAGAACTCGGGCTTCAACCCCGATGACATCCTTTCGGTGGAGCCGCCTGCCTCGTCCACCACAGACGCGTCTGCGGGGCCGGCCATCAAGCTGCACCACGTCACCTTCACCTCGGCCACCCTGGTGGTCATCATCCCGCACCCCTACAGCAAGATGTACGTCCTGGTCCAGTACAACAACAGCTACATCTCCGACGTCATGACGCTCAAGAACAAGAAGGAGATCGTCACCCTTGACAAGCTGCGAGCACACACCGAGTACACCTTCTGCGTGACCTCACTGCGAAACAGCCGCCGCTTCAACCACACCTGCCTGGCCTTCACCACGCGGGACCCGGTCCCGGGCGACCTGGCGCCCAGCACCTCCACCACCACGCACTACATCATGACCATCCTGGGCTGCCTCTTCGGCATGGTCATCGTGCTGGGAGCTGTCTATTACTGCCTGCGCAAGCGGCGCATGCAGGAGGAGAAGCAGAAGTCTGTCAAGGTCAAGAAAACCATCCTGGAGATGCGCTACGGGGCCGACGTGGAGGCCGGGTCCATCGTTCACGCTGCCCAGAAGCTGGGCGAGCCCCCAGTGCTGCCCGTGTCCCGCATGTCCTCCATCCCCTCCATGATCGGGGAGAAGCTGCCCACCTCCAAGGGTCTGGAGGCCGGGCTGGACACGCCCAAGGTGGCCACCAAGGGCAACTACATGGAGGTGCGCACCGGCACAGGTGGAGATGGCATGGCCCGGCCTGAGGATGACCTCCCGGACCTGGAGAATGGCCAGGGCTCGGCCGCTGAGATCTCCACCATTGCCAAGGAGGTGGACAAGGTCAACCAGATCATTAACAATTGCATCGATGCCCTCAAGCTGGACTCGGCCTCTTTCCTGGGGGGTGGCAGCAGCGGTGGTGGGGACCCCGAGCTGGCCTTTGAGTGCCAGTCCCTCCCCGCAGCCACAGCAGCCTCCTCGGCACCGGCCCCTGGGGCCCTGGAGCGCCCCAGCTTCCTCTCACCCCCTTACAAGGAGAGCTCCCACCACCCGCTGCAGCGCCAGCTGAGCGCCGACGCCGCCGTGGTCCGGAAGACCTGCAGCGTCTCGTCCAGCGGCTCCATCAAGAGCGCCAAGGTCTTCAGCCTGGACGTGCCCGACCACCCGGCCTCGGCGGGGCTGGCCAAGGGCGACTCCAAGTACATCGAGAAGGGCAGCCCCCTCAACAGCCCGCTGGACCGGCTCCCGCTGGTGCCCACGGGCAGCAGCGGCAGCGGTGGCAGCAGTGGAGGCGGGGGCGGCGGGAGCGGCGGCGGGGGCAGCGTCCACCACCTGGAGGTGAAGCCCGCCTACCACTGCAGCGAGCACAGGCACAGCTTCCCCGCGCTCTACTACGAGGAGGGCGCCGACAGCCTGAGCCAGCGCGTGTCCTTCCTCAAGCCGCTGACCCGCTCCAAGCGGGACTCCACCTACTCGCAGCTCTCGCCCAGACACTACTACTCGGGGTACTCCTCCAGCCCCGAGTACTCCTCGGAGAGCACGCACAAGATCTGGGAGCGCTTCCGGCCCTACAAGAAGCACCCCCGGGAGGAAGTGTACATGGCCGCGGGCCACGCCCTGCGGAAGAAGGTCCAGTTCGCCAAGGACGAGGACCTGCACGACATCCTCGATTACTGGAAGGGGGTCTCGGCCCAGCAGAAGCTGTGACCCTCTCCTCCCTGGTGAGGTTGGAGGGGAAGGGCGGGGGGCACGCGGGGAAGGGCCCGGGCAGCCGGGCAGGGGCGCGCGGGGGGCCCGAGGCCGAGGAGTGGACGCACACGCACACCCGCACGCACGCACCCATGCACACACCTGACCACCACCTGACTGTGAACAACCACCCGACAATAACGGACAGGAAAACAAAGACCCGTTCTCCTTAAAGTTTACACACTGATTTCCAACCCAGGCGTCTTTACTGTGCTGCCCAGGGACTCTGCTGGGGGGTGCGGGGGCTGGGTGGAGCGGGGTGAAGGAGGCAGGCAGGGAAGCCACAGGAAGGTGGGGCCTGGGGACAGGTTTGAGGGCAGAGGAGCCTGCAGCAGGGAGAGGTCCCCTGTTGGGGGACAGGTCACTTGGAGATCTGGCACCAGGTGGACATTGGGCATTGTTTCCTTCCTTTATGGATGGGGAAACTGAGGCCCAGGGAAAGGAGGTGATAACCCCGGGGTCACAGGGCAGGTTAGAGTTAGTTTCCTAACTTTGCAGCCCAGCACTATCGCCCACCTCCAGTGGATCCCCTGGGGCTCCCATCCTCCATCCACCCACCACCCTTTTCCAGCTGTGGTCTCCTGGGGCTGAGGGACTTGAGAATCAGGTGGGTACTTTTTCCTTCTAGAAAGCCCCATGGCCATGCCCTTAGAGCATGTCGCTGTTATTCATCATACCGGGGGCCCTTCATCCCCGACGCCAGCACCCAGCGGAGGTGGGAGGTCCTGCTGACAGGAAAGAGCAGAGGCACGGGGACAGTCCACCAGCCCCTTCACGTGTCTTCCAAGTAGCCTGGGAGCTCCCTATGGGGCCTGAGGAGTGTGGTGGGCCAAGTCCCACCGCCTCTCTGATGTAGGCCCCCACACCTCAACCCCCCAGCTCTGGGCCTCCAGGACCCCTGTTCATCCCAGAAGGGCAGCAGTGAACTGTGATGCCTGGGAGCAGCGGGGAGGCGGGTGGAATGGGGGCCTTCCTACCTGTGCCCCTACATCCTGACCTCCTGCCTGTCTGACCCCCATCCTGGGATCTTAGGGCAGCACCTCAGCCTGCCCAGAGGAAGGAGGGCTTTCCCACCCAGCCCCTCCTGGCTGCCCCCTCGGCCTGAGGGGTCCCGTATTTCCATGGGTATATGGAAATGGCCCATCCTCCTTTGCTCACCCCCAACCAACATCGAACAAAGCACAAACAGTGAGCACCCCCCTTGCTGGGGGGCAGCAGGCTGGGTTTGTGGGGCCCCTCCCTGTCCCTGGCCAGCCTCTGTCGCCATGGCAACCCAGAGCCTGGCAGTTGGGACCGTTGGGCTCCTGGGGGTTCTCCCAGTGTGGGTGGCAGAGGACGGTGAGGGAGGGCAGGGCCAGAAGGTAGCTGCCTTGCTCATGAGCTAGGGGCTTTTGGGGGCGAGCTCTGGGGGCAGGTCTGGGGTCCTGAACAGTCTGGATGCTGAGGGGCCAGAGTCAGTTGTCCCTTCACCTTTGGTTGGGAGGTAGGCCAGTGGGGAGCAAGGACAACTTTAGCTTTGTCCACCTGCCAATGTGCCCCTTGGCTCTGCAGGCACCTCAGGATGGGGAGCAGCCCACTAAGCTCTCCTCAACACCCCTGCCAGAGACCCCTGACCTCTGGCCTGTCACCCAGTGGGTCTTCTTGATATTTGGGAGGTGTGACTAGGGTGAGGGTAGGCGCTGGGGTGGGACCGAGACCTGTACTGTGTGTGGGGCTCTGACCAGGAAAGCCAGTGCCACCCCCTGGGTGGGGGGCTCCAGTGACCTTCCTGCCAGGGGGAAGACAGTGGAGGGTTAGGGGGGATTGGGGCTCAACTGAGGGCCTCTCTCACACCCACTTGGGGGACGGACCAAGCCCGGGGCTCACTTTGGGGTGACATTTACAAAGAAAGGACTGTTCTGGGGAGTGGAAGGGAGGGGGCCAGCATGAATATGCAGAGAAGATCTCCCCCAGCCCCCCCAAACCTCCCCACCCCTCCTCACACCGATTGGCAAAACTGAGGAAAACAAGCAGGCGGAGAAGCCAGCGGTGTGAGAAAGCAGATTCCCTGTTATATTTGCATGATGATTTTCCTGTATTTTTCTGAGCAAACATCTGTCGTGTATGTGCCGGTTTGTCCAGACTCCCCTGCCCCCTTCCTGGCCGCCCCCCTTTCCCAGATCCCCTCTATTGTGACCTGACAAGCAGCTCTTGACACCCGGGGAGGGGCCAGCTCTGCAAAAGACCCAAAACAGGTGCCACCCAAACACAGCCCTTGCCCCACGCCCGCACCGTCTTTCTGAACTTGGGGCTCACAAGTGCCACGTCCCCTCCTCCCTCCATCTCTCATGTCCACCTGTCCTCATCCTGGCCCCTTCCCTTCCACCCTGCCAGCAAAGGGCACCCCGGGCACAGGGAGCATGGGAAGACCTCTCCCCTGTCCCCCTGACTCCCACTTTGCAGGTGGAGAGGTAGGGGGCCCCAAGGACAGAGGGGCCTGGTGGTTTGGCCACCAGGTGGGGTGCAGGGTCAGTCACACCGCTAAGTACAGGAGGTTCAGAGCTTGGAGCTTCACGGACAGCTTTATGGGGAGGTCTGGGGCCCTGAGGGAGAAAACCGTGGGAGGAACCGGAGAGCTGGAGCTGGAGCTGGAGGTTGGCCTGGCCTCACGGGAGATGGAGCTGCTCACAGGGAGGGCTCTGGCGGCAGGAGCTGGAGCCTCTTTTTGCCATACCCCTTCATTCCTGGTTGAAGATGACCTACGAAAACCTCAGCCCAGCTCACTTCAGGGAATTTTAAGGATAGGTTTCTGTCTTAACAGCCAGGGTCTTGCCACCCCAGGAGGTGAACAGACCTTCACCACCGATCTTTGGGGCAGGATAGTTTCTAAAACTTGGGCCTCTGGAATTCCCCGCCAGGCTGGATCCCTCAGCTGCCCAGGCCAGGTCCCTTGCTCTGGGGAAGGGACCACTGTGCTCACTGCAGCACCCTTTGGAGGTTCTCCTGCATCTGTGTCTTGCTCAGGATAATTCTTCCCCAAGGGGGAGCAAAATATTCACGAAAGACAAATGAGCATCTATGTCAAGGAGGCTGGCTCGCCAGGGCCCCGTGTTTGTAAAGGTGAATGGTGGACCTGGGCCGTGGCCTGGGCAGGGGACCCTGGTGGAGTTGGGGGACCAGCTGGCTGGAGGAGAGGTGGGTGCTGCACCTTGGACCTCCTGGCAGAGGCCTCCCTGCTTTTGGGTCATGCCTGGGCTTGCTGTCGGAGAATCTCTAGAGGAAATTCCTGGGTGCCTATTCCTGGGAAGTGGCACCAGTGGGTCCACTCTCTCCTGGAGGGTCGGGCAGGCACCCCTAACCCTCTATTGGAGCTAATGGCCTTGAAGCAGGGAAAGGCGGAGGTCTGGTGGGAAGAAAGCTTAGCCTGGGGCAGACACCTCCCCAGGAATTCTGGGCCTGCTGCTCCCCTCTGCAGGAGGGCCCTCTCTCTGCTCCCCTCCTAGGGGACAGTGCCGGAGGACTGTGAGGCTGTGTTCAGGCTGGGAAAGGGCTCTCTGCCGGCTGGTAGCAGTGGAAAGGCCCCCACGGGAAGAGTAGGCCTGAACATCCAGAGAGGCAGAGGGGAGCCTGGGCCTGGCCGAAAGTCTCTGATCTCAACTGGAAGTCGCTTGCCTGCCCCCTCCTGGAAACTTAAGAGGGGGAAACAGAAGCACAGGAAAGGGAAGGAAGGAAGGAAATCCAGGGTCTCATAAGGACAGACTGGGGCCAGGTAGGAGCCAGGCATGGGGGACAGTAGTGACAGGTCCCAGCTTAGAAGGGGCTTACATGCAGTGAAGAGACAGCCACAAAAATGTTCCCCAGTGGTGGACACTGTGAGAGAATTAAAATAGGATGACAGAGGAAGAGGGGTTCGGGGTGCCCTCAGAAGAAGAGATCATTGGCAGCCAGCTCTGAATGATAGGAGCCAGAGGACTAGCCCAGCCGCTGGCCCTGTGAGAGAGGCTGGAGGGAGAGGGGCTGGGAGTGGCGGGATGTGTGGAAGTACCTCCTCAGTCACCCCCACACTGTGCCTGCCCTCCGAGGGAACCTACCATTCAGCAGTGTCACACCCCATTGCTGGCAGAGTGGGCAGTGGATGGGTGGGCAAGGCATGGGGAAGCCCTGGGTGTGTCCAATACCTGTGGGAACTTGGGGGGCAGGGTTAAGGGTTGCCCATGAGGCCAGTGTGAAGGTTGGGGGTCCCCTGATTCCAATGCTGTTCTCTGCTCAGCTGAGACGTCTGCTCAGTCCCAGAAGCTGCCATGCTCCCCATTCATCTTGCCCCTGTATCCTCTCACCTTTAAGACAGAACCAGTATTTATACTCCTTGCCTCTCACGCCTGCCCCAAAGACCCCCATCAGAAGCCCCTCACTGCTGCTGAGCAGTGGGGAGAGGAAAAGGGGTGTGGATTGGGGTGGGGTGGGAGGGTCTGGGCCTCCTCTCCCTTCCCCTGCCCCTCGCCCAGCAAGCATAGGGCTGGCCAGGGGTGGGGGGCCCATTTTTGCACCCTCCATCCCTCCCTCCCTCTACATGGAGCCGCCAACCTCTTGGGCTTGGGGCTTGGCACCTGATTTGGGTCCTGCAGAGCTGGCCCCCACCCTGGGCTCTGAACCTGTGACCCCTAGCTGTGCGTGGACCTTTCCTCCTTGGGGGGCCTGAACCCTCTCCTTTACTTCTTTTAGGGGGGTAAGTTCGTTTATTTTCTCTTTCCGATATCTGCCTCTCCCTCTTCCCAAATTCCTGTTTTAAACTGAATGGCACGAAATTGTTTTCCTCAACTCGAAGATTCCTGTATGGAGAGAATCAATTTCTATATTTGCAATAAATTTCTTATTTAAAACAATGGGGCCAAGGTCTGTGTTGAATGTCAACCGCTCC